CAGTTATGTAGACCTTACACTATATATTTAAGAATATCGATACATTTAAAATTAGGCGGCTTTGCCGCAGATAAAACAAATTAATACAGTTTACATTTTAGCAGAAGAGTTTTTTAGCCTTGGATTAAGATTCTAACTACTCTTGGAGGTATCGAAGTGCGATCCGCTACACTCGTATTGGTTCTTGTGAAGAACGTAGGGTCGGTGACCTAGATTGGGCTTCTTCTAAGCGCAAAGCTACGGCAGCCCCGCTGCACGCTTGCACGTCACAGTACATGACCCCACGCAACATGAGTCGTATACCTGACGTTTCCGCATGGCTCAACGAGCCCATGGTGGAGGCGACCCCAGCGGTCGATGGCCTTGATGCCATTCTTGGTGAAATTATTGGATGAGAACGATCATAGTGTGTCTTCTAGTCCCGACCCTGCAACTTCATTTTCACCGAGTGGCAAATGGGAAGGACGTTCGCTTAGATGTAGGTATTATCTTCGCTCCGCATTCTCTGTATATATTGCGCATATCATTTCCGTTTTTTCAACAGTGAAAGTACCACTAAACACCCACCGTAGAATCCACGACGATATCTAGCACGTTACAGATTAGCTGGACGAGCCAAGCTTGCTTAATTGCGCAATAGTCGTAATGGTTGCAAACCAGATTCGTCATGATTATGGATAAAATCTCTCAAAAGTTTTTCGTCGTGAAGTGCCGAATCCCTTGTATACTGATGCTTACGGGCTTTCTGCTGATACAAAAAATACTCGAAAGTTGGTCCACTTCCGCGGGCGCTGTCTGACATCTGACGTCCCACCCCTGTAGAGTACAGAACAGCAACAGTTGGATAACTCATACCTATGCATAGTCCGTACTATACAGACGGAGCAATATGTCTGGTTGCTTCACCCGTTTTAATGCCAAATTGGACAAACAAGACGCCAGACTAGAGTGTTGTTTAGTTTCAAAGGACAAAAAACGAAAGAATTGTCAAAGCGGATTGTCGCCACCTCTAGTTCTTGCTGTAAAGAATCCAGCCTTCATAGCTACCATCCAAGTCTCTACATCAAGCAAGACTGGAGGACACTTACAAGTGAAAAAAGGGTTGCTCTATGTAGCTCTATTCATCTCCTCGGTAAGACAGAGGGTGCACCAGGTCAACTATCTCCGAGGGCTAGCGTGATATTGCTACTAATATGCGAAGAATCTCAAATGTGATTGTACCGATCGCACTCTGGGGATTCAAAACCGAATTGCTTCTTCCAAAAGAGGATGGTTAGCTAAACAAGATGGTTGAGACATTGCATAGTATCAGCAAGCATTTTCAATTCCGGATGGGTTGTGATAGCGAGAACGTACTACATTTCCAATTACAATTGCGTTGCACGACTCTGGTCGAATATGTTGCAAAATTATTGTGGACTGTGGATAGTAACGACTATATCTAAACAGCTGCTTTCCAACGAACCGATCATTTCTGCACCTGGTACAGCCCACTACCATGATCAGCAAATCTATAAACAGCAACTCTTAGAACGTCCCGCAAGGAGTATCTACCGTTGTGCAAATAATTATTTTCTCGAACTGAAGCATCTTTTTAGATTAACAGTCTGGAAAACAAAGACGTTGTCGTGTAATGTAATACTTTGTCTACGAACCAAGTCGATATTACGGCGCAGTGGCCAGCTCGCGTGTGGGGTCTTCATTGATAGGTTCACCTGAACGAATGATAAGCTCAGCCCCATTTTTGTAGTAATCGAATCATTTTGGTGACCCGACCAAATCGCTTTAGCTCTATGTGAGCTTTTACCAGTGGAGACTTACAACTCCTATGATTACTTCTGTCACTCTGCTCACGATATTTAGCTATCTAACCGCGGAACCCAATCCTCCATGATGTGAGCCAATCATACGGAGTGCCAACTCTGGTGCATCGTTATAAGCTGACAAGTATGAGTGCTTTTGATCTTCACGATGTGACCTTCCTACTCGCAAATACAGTCACCTTTAAATTTCTTTAGATCTGACACGAGAAATCTCAACGTCCAGTCGCTTCGATTCTCATCTAGCGTAACAACAGATTATACCTGTTCATATTTATCTCAACAGGGTAGTCTAAGTGTACCACGAATGACTTCTACAAGTTGTCTGCTTATCTTATTTGATACTTCACTACCGTTTAATAGTATTTGAGCCATTACTACCCATTACCGCTTCATTGGCACCAGATTATCGGTTTATACGATAGTGATGCGACAACGAAAAGGAGAGGTCCGTGATACATGCGGACTGTTTCGAACAGAGTAATCCGGGCCGGGCTGTAACAACTATGCACGATGTCATTTTTCGCAACGTTTACTTAGAACCCTACTATAAACTTCGACATGGCCCCGTCGCAAAACGCACGAATAAGCTATCTGATTTTGGCATCTCTAATGCGTCTACGTAGTGTCTACTGTTCTTGACAATAGTGTGCCGTATCTAATTGCACGACGCTCCTGTGTTATTGAGGAAATTCAATGACTTGACAAGGTTAGGGGCGTTGATGTAAGCAATAGGCAACCTTGGCTTGTGAGCTGCTCCATTCCTAGGATAGCGTTGCTTCCTTTGGGCTATCACATTAACCATACCTACACAAGGTACGATAGGGAACACATTTTACATAGTAAACGAGGACTGTCTACTGGGGTTGTTGTTACTCCGCTATAGGCCCGTCGGTAACCTTGCGTTGGAAGGTTACCCTTCATAAATCTCGGTCGCGTGAGAAAGCTGCACGCAAAGCAAAAAGGCTTACAACTGTCACAGATATAACAACTCCGAACATCGCGAATCTGCTACGCAGCCTAGAGATCTATCTATTCCACTTCTACATGGCTAATTTGCATCGTCTCTGACAAACGCATAAGGCTTTCACTTCCAATATTCCATCCGAATCTCACAACACGCACTTCGTTCCCCGCCTTCGATACCACACACACCGATTCCTCGAAAACGATCGGGTAGGCTCGGGAGACTACGGCGGAAGCCACACCGGTTCTGACGTCGTCCATGGACTCTTATTGCATCTGGTATACGGGTCAATTTCAATACAAAGGTAAGACTTCCCATTTATCGTTGGCTCTCGACTTATCTAACGGGTAAAAAAAGCAGTAAGCGCACTTGATTCGCCCGTCAGGCAGTGCAAACACGTGCATTAACCGTACTTTTAAAACTTTTCATGGTTGGAATGTGTAGCACCTAGATATTTTGCACGAAAGTACCCATTTTTGGAAGCTACCTCCTGCCTTGAGGACCGTATACGCGTTATGTGTCGCGTTGCATAGAGCATGGCCAAATTATAACAATCTCGGGCTGCCTCACCCAGAGCCAAAGATATTCCGGACCTACCTTCGGAGGGTTAAACTCTCAATATCAGCGGCATCGCGATCGTAGCCACCCAGCTGGGTTAATCCTGAAAATATCTCCCTAGCGCTTTCTCAGAGCTGATGAACATCTTTAGGCGGGTGATAGGCGGGTTTAGCTGTTGTTTTGTTAGTTTGCATACCCGTGTAAACAGCAATAGTCACTCTCTACAAGCGTGTCAAGTTATGTAGAAGACAAAAAATCAAGCAATTCGCTCCCGTCCTCACAATGAATACCGCTATTTCACGACTCGATTATGGAATGTGATACGAGGGCTACTAAGTCAATTAGTTTACAATGAATCTTGCACAGAGGAAAGCCTGACTCAAAAAGTGTGCTTGAGCAGCGCCAAGAGGTTGTTGCGGTATGCTCCACCCAGGAGTGAAACCAAGAACCGCCGAAATGACAAGTTACCTAGCCTAATCTGCTATTGTTTGAGTGATAAGTGCTTGAGTTTTAATCTATGTTAACTAACATTTGATACATACGCAAAAGCAACAAATGCTCTGCCCTTGATTCATGTCGTTGGGTACTGTATGGTAACCAATGTAGTTTATGGATGACTTCTTTAAGTAGTCTGCTTATCTAGATATACACCGATACTTCAATACCTCTTAATACGGTACCTCTTGATATGTCTTTGTTATCGATTAACCACCATTGGTACCGAAGCATCAGTATCTACGATGATGATGGGTTTACGAAGAAGAGTACAATTGCGCTTCCATGAAAGAGTAGCATGCAAAAAATCCATAGCAACATAACATTATAAAACAATATATGCTAGAATATATTTTGTGAAAATTATAGAAAAGCTGATTGAAATATCGTATTAATTTCCCACGTTAAGATATCTCAATCAATGATTCAATCTACATTATTTAACAAGATAATTTTAATCTAACTCCCAAACGGGTTAAACAAGACATACTGTCGTCCTTTTGACTCTCACCCTGACACCATAGCTCACTGCCGGTTCTGCCTTCCGAGCTCCACTTGGGTCAACTAGAAATACCATTGCTAGACAATTTGGACAGCCCCATTACTTGTACATACGATATTGCAACTTTGATATCGCACCAAAGGCGCTTTGTTTCCCGGAAGCAGTGTTCATGAATCGCCAAAGCTTCACAAAAAAGAACTCAATAGCACCGAAACTTTCCATTTTTAATTCAGTCTATGACTCGTGGCGTATAAGCCACGATATAGCTAGAATGGTGTCATACTTGAATCCAGGTCGAGACGGAACAACGTTCCACGCTGTCAATTCCGCAAAGATTCTACCATAACTTTTGACACTTTTACTAATAGTCCATCGCAAGACGCACAGAGCACAAGGCTGTAATTTAAGTCTTCAAGTTCCTCCTCGTACTATCCTCTATGTACGTAATTGCACGACACTTTAAAGCACATCAGGACTTTTCACGGCTTTGACAAGCCCGGGATCTTTCTTAATCACAACGAACAACGAACTTGAAGTGCGAGTTCTTCAGCTTCCGGAAGGAAGCGTTTTCCCTGTTCTTGACCATGACCTCACAAGATACTATAGTAGGTCGATCCGTGCCTAACGGGACTCGACAATTTCCCGCGAGGGGCTTGTTTGAGCGCCCTTATGCCGCATCTTAACTTGTGTACATCACAGCTGAGATTGTAGGGGGTAAGCTAAATGCAGATATTGTGAACTGACAAAGATAGATATCGGCGAGTACCGCAAAGATGCTCGGCAGCTAAGACATGTCTCTTTTTCTCTCCAGCAAGGATGATAGCTAAACTGGATATTAGTCCTGCGTGAAGAGTCTGCGAGGATAAAGGCTATCGTAAATTTATCAATTATACTCTTCAAAACGGATTAAAAAGGAGCTTGACTTGGCAAATATTATACCAACATTGGACGCCCCTTTCTCAACCATCTTAAAAGGTATCGAATAGTGCAGAAGTGTGGACGGAATTCGACCTATTCGCTGTGAATGAGTGTTCTGTGTGTGCCCTGATTATCGCCCTTCTGAATCAATATCTGCCATTTTATGCTCGTCAGTGCTTGTGATAGCACGTACTATGCTTCAAGGGATACAAATAAGCACAAGATCGCCATCGCGTGTGAGTCTTGCCAGCTCAGTGTGCCAGAAAAGAACCACTCCGTTAGTGCGTTGATGAGAAGGAGTACTTAATAAGATGTTTGCTTCCATCAAGATCGAAGTACTATCATTTGCTTGTGATATGTAGATGTCGGTGCGCACAGCGACGCCGTCACCACAGAACGGCAAGATGGCCATCATTCTTTGCCAAGTGTTCCTTGTATTAAAATAAAAGTATTCGACGAAAAAAATTAGCCAATTTAGCTCAATGTGGTGGTAGGAGCGCTATCGCTTCGCCTATGCGATGTCCTATTGGTAGCAACAGTGATGCCGTTGCCCATTGATGAGGCGATATATACAGCGTACAGAGCAGAGGTAACATTTTGCTTTGTTGGAAGCTTTGTGAAGCAAGAAGCTTTTGAGCTTAGATAACGCTTTATTGAAGTGTTATTAGCTGCACGTATGTACCGCTTTAATTATCCTGAGACTTGCTAAAACATAGCTTTGCTTCGTATGACTCTTAACGTGTGGTTGTTAACAAAACACTTGTATGAGTAAAATGACATCCCCGTCACTGACTACTCCGCAAGAGAGAATCGTCTGACTTGATGAGCGCTACGTACCGGTGGTCCAACACGACTAAGCGAGTAAGCACGTATGTGGCCACGTGGAAAGTCAATGGACTAAATTCTCGCCGAATGCGTCGGCGCCTTTGTCGGATTTACCAAAGACTTAAATTCTCAGTCAGCTGAAGGCTTGTCTGGGATACCGGCTTAGGATTCTTTAAATCTCACCCCGAAAATGGCTCATCTGCCGTCTGTCGGCGATGCAGTGACCGGTGTGTATACAGCCAACCTGCTGCAAAATAAAGGCCCTCGCCATCTTGCTTGCCGGTCGACATTCGCTCGAATCACGACTCGCATTTAAAAGTGTCATCTTAGATTTGTCAATGTTGCTCTGATTCAGATCGGAAATATCCACCGCGTTCATCCACCAAGATATTGACAGACGGAAAGATGGTAGAGGGAATTTTTCGAAACACTTGCTCAGGAAGGCCGCATTGCTGAAGCGACATGCTCCCACTTAACGAGTTTGAAACCCATTTATGCATATAGGATTTATCCAATCAGCATCAATGTTTTTGTTATTTCCTGTGTTACTTTGCCAACACTACAAAATCGATCCGATTTTGAATGAAAGGGCCGTCGCTTTTTCGACCACTAATATCAGACCGACTACGTTTCGAAAACAGTCTTCGAGTTTACTTTGACGAGACTCAGCGCCGTGAGCTAAGTCGGCGAGATGTCGGCTAAGTACAGGATATGTAACGCAACATTCAGTACACCGGTGTGACGGAAACACAAGAGGATGTACAGATGATATAATATTCTATCTATTATGCAGTATATGCATTCTATAAGGGTAAGTTAATCCCGTACCGCTTGCGGTCCTGATCAGAAAACAAGGCGAACCTTAAAAAAGTGTGAGTATATCCTGTGTTCCACGTAGGTATGTAAATGTAATACCAAATTCCTCTGTAACGGAATTTTTAGATGAGAAGCAATTTGTTAACGACAAAGTAACATCGCAAGTATTTCTTGTAGCTAAGAGTCTCTCACTCTCTCTAGAACAGTGACATGGTTTTGAGTCAATTGAAAAACAGGAAGCACTCCATGAGATGACTTACCTCAAAGAGCGCATCCAAAAAATTAGCTATCTCAGTATCAAGTTTTGAAGGATTGATTATGTGCCGTCATTAGTGATGGGGGACATACCCACGGTATATTCTTCCGTCACCGGCACTGCCCGGTGAACAGTGAGTATTCCATTCGAGCCGAAAGTGAGATAGCGGACTCAAAGTATGTGTAATTTGTGTCTGATGAAATGAAATAGATATATTGACTTTAGATTAATTCGTAGTCTGAGGCTCCATTTTGGTAAGATTGTCCTACGCAGTCGTGGCTTCTGATATCACACTCCATCCATTGAACAAGATTACCGCGCAAATTGAACAGAAAAGCTTCAGCTCAGTGGCCGCCTTCACAAATGCACGAGGTTTGACCAGCACGTTTTAATCAGGAGCAAAATTGAGAGTCCCTTTAGCAAAAACGTCGTATTTGGGATCTTCACCATACATCACTTTTGATATGTAGTTGATATCGATTACATTCAGGCTGATACATGTACAATCTTTTAGCGAAGCTCTCACATTAGTAAATGCGTGGCTTGCAGCCTAAATGTACCATGTATCTCTTCTTTCTGTGATTTCATCGTCTTTAAAAGTCCGAGAACGGTACTTATAAAAATGTTCTTTGCTCAAAAGCGCGATGTGATTGTTATAACATTGTGCAACGTTGTATTTTGCGCGGTTGTACATTAGATTTAGGTGTAAGTTGCCAATGGTACATTATTTAGACCACGCGGGGGTTCACGCTTGTTTTGACTTTTTGGGGTGGGGACACTATGGATATTTGGTCGCTCAACGAGCTACTACTGAAATTATTGTCTGTCTTTATTTTTTCACTTAGCCATGCTGCCCCTCGGTGCGAAAGTCTATTGCCGGGTACAATATCAACTGGCTTGACAAGCTTAAACAAACGCAGTCTATGCGACCTACACTCTTAAATACTTTTAATGAGGATGCCGCGGTGTTTTGTGATGAGAACGGTCACAACAGCTTTTTCAGACCCACTTAACACCTACGCTCTCATCCAAAGCCAAAGAGTGTATCTTATCGAGGAGAGAATGTGTTTACTGTGCTTCGACTCTTCTTTCCACAAGTAACGGATGCCATTTTTTACTGATTACAAGCGCAATTGTCACATCGACTCTTGCCCATATTATCAAGTCATGCTTACCGTTTCAAACCGTCTGAAGTTGCTCGCCCCACACACTTATTTGCGCGGAATATCAGCTCAAACCGAGAGTAAAACATGCGAAATATAGGCTCCCCGTAAGCGCTTTCTCATCCCATTTGTTATCTCTCCTCAGGAATACCCATGTACTTAGAGCATTTGTGCTTTGGATAAGCAACCAGTACCACGACCATACAAACTACCGTGGATGCTTGGGGGTAGCAAGACTGTCGATGAGTGTCAACCTCAGTCCGCATATAGGGGAGAGAATTACACTGCCTCACAGTCTTATGTCTTAATGAGCAGCTTCAGCGAAGCAAAGGTAGCCTGGCTTTGCAGGGTTTGAAGCGACGTGAATGTCGTAATCACAACCCATCATCTCAAGTTCCTGCTATTTATAGCGCTGCTTATATCCATGAGACAGCTATAGCAGCCATCAGTCAAGGGTCATTGACACCGCAAAAATGGTCGCCACCCGCTAGAAAGAAGCGCGCTGCGACGAGCGACCCTTCGCATTACGCCTAATCTCAGCGAAATAAATCTTTTGAATTTAGCTCATAGTGTAGCTGGGCTGATATTAGCAAGTCAATTTAGATCGACATTCCTTTTACACCAAGATCGGAGGCACTTCGTGGTGGGGTCGAAGTCGCCTGTGGTGGTTAGCAAACCATTTACGCGACGTACCATTGTCCACTTCGGTTGATCTGCCCGAATACAAAAAAGTTTAAAAGTACACGTACACATGAATACGGTATTTACCCTGTTACAACAAATAAATTTGTTTTGTTATATACAATAGTAAAGTTTTTTGTACTGCACAGCATGAGGCATGCCTACGGGCCTATCTTTTTGGAGTTTCATTTCCATCATCCGTACCGCTTCTGCATTTTGAGTTCGGAGGACAATAGTGCCTATAATGTAAGGAGTTCGTATCAGAATACGGTGCGTACATCTTCCCTACCGCTTCTGCATTTTGAGTTCGGAGGAAAATAGTGCCCATAATGTAAGGAGTTCGTATCAGGATACGGTGCGTACATCTTTTTTATAAAAGGTATACCACACTGTGGGTTCTCTTGAAGACATTGCCAAAAGTGAGGTCAATTACACTGGGGGATCCTCTCCACCGAATCATATGTTGTCTGCTTTCACTAGCGTAAATCACGTCGGAAATCCCCCCTACGTGTTCATTGCCCTGCGACAGGTGGTCGGCGACCTATGAGCCAAAAGCGGTAAAGCTGTTCATCCACCTGTTTAAGGCTTAGGCGTTCTCTACGATCCGCCGATGGGCTATGCATTTCTACAGTCACCCACAGTAGAATATGTATCGGTACCATGACGCGAGGATCAAGGGTATCCTGCCAAGCTTGTCTGCATAGAGGCTGCCTTGAAATCTGAGCTGAGGAAGTTTTGACACTTAGATTTCGCGTAAACAACCGCACAGAGGTCGGGTCCGTGCGCTCGAACCAGGGGCGGAACCGAGAGCCTCTTCGGTATAAATTGCTCTGAGTACTTATGTATATTCAATACTGAACATACACGTTTTCACCATCTCTCATGCTAATACTGTCTTTATTATTTCATACGCAGCTAGCAACCTAAATGCACACCGAGTGTCGCGAGGCAAGTATTGAATCTTGTGTACTAAACCCCATCTCAACTGGTACAACTGTGATAATTACATTGCACTACAACTGTATGACACTCATCTTACTCTGCTGTAAGTTTAACACCTTAAAAATAGTAAATTATCTAGATCTTGTCTTAGTTAATCCAGACTGAATAGAATTCTCAAATTCCTTAAATTCAAAAAGGAAACCTTTAAAACTACTGGTGAGAGCCTACAAATCTAATCTCTGTGCGTTTTACTCGCGAAGTCATCGAGTAGGGCTTCCTCTGTTCAAGGTGCAGCCTTGAGTCCGCTTCTGGGTCGTCGTACGAAAACATCCTCTGTGCATTTTTTGAAGCGGGCTCATAGAATCAAAGATTGCTCTTGCGAGGCTCACGGCAACTCTGTCACTTTGCCCGTCATAAGTAATGAGTACGTTGAGGCTCATCTAGATGCACGATTCGTATCGCTTGGCGTCGTGCAAGCTTAATTTCTTATCAAAAAAGTCCGTGATTGCTGTGCAACGATCGGATAGGGGCGTAGAAGATAAAATATCCAATAGTCATTAGCTTTAACAGTCGTCAAATTCGGCTAAGTCTATTTGAATCCGACGTTTCCTCTTGTTCAGAAGTAAGGAAGAGTGAACCTTGACGAGCTGCCTACGAAAGCGTTCTTGACAAGCGTCTACACATCGTCGAGACAGCATTACAAATATTCTTCTCAAGTTTAATTTTTGCTAATCCAAGCACATTCAAATAAAACTAGCAAACAAACATTGTCATTATTTCAAAAGAACAAAATGTTACAATCTAATTGCAGACTACAAAAAATGATGGATTTAATCTAGCAAATTTGACCTATCCCTAGGACGATGCTGGCTGAACATTGTGTGACAAACATAAATGTTATATGTGGGTGGGACAGGAGCACCCAGTGTTATTATTCACCTTTAGACGGCGAAACGAAATGAGCGATCCAAATGGCGTCGACAAAAGTGTTAGTGGCTCTCATACTGCCTTAAAGAATTCCGAGAAGGAGTATAAGATCGATGAGGTGATGGACTTTCTCAAATTTAGCGTCAAGTCCAGCACCACTTTCAGAGGAACGATTTTGTTTATGTTTAAGGATATGAATGATGTTGAACCCAAGACTACATACGCAGTGGAAATTAACGAGATGCAGAAAGTAGCTACTCGTAAAAACGTTAAAGTTTGCGAAGAACGTCCTACATGCAAAGTGACTATTTCAATGGACGATTTTTTATGGATATATTCGGGCAAAGCGAACAGTGCTGATCTGGCACGACTGTTCTATGCTGGTCGTGTTGTTATCACTGGCTATGCCTTTCGAACGGTATCAAAGTTTGCTCAAAGCTTCGATTTCTCGTCCGAAAAATGGCGCAATTTTTACGCCTTGCGAAAAGCGCAGGATGAGAAAAATTACACGAGTCGGTCGCCTAGCGCATTGGAAGATGTGAGAAATGTTGGCTCACCCTCAAGAGATTACTGGTATTTCCATGCGAAATCGATTTTGGACTGTTTTCATATCACTAAAGTGCAGCGTATACTCTGGGAGACCTCGCTTGCCAGTCTTTTCGGAGAGAAGGTTGTTTTGGCAAGCGTTCGTCACGCGTCTTTAAGAGACAATAAAAATGCATCAAGTATATTTAACATTATTGCTCGTGTTGTCGGAAACTCTGGTCCTGTGTCGGCGGACTTGAAGCGTCGGGCGACTGCTGTTATGACGCCTAATAATCTTTATAAAGAGCGAGAATTGCGCACTGAACTAGAGAGAATTTTGTACCAGTCTAGTTCATCGGCTACTATCGTCAAGTCTTTCGCGGTTGTTAATCTCAAACAAACTGCCTCTTCCATGTTTGACTTTATAAGTAAAGATTACATTAAGACTGTGAAGCTCAGTGCCAAGGAACGCCAGCGGCGTCGGCATCACCGCAATCGTGTGGATCTTGGGGATGCCGGCATGGCGCAGCTTGACAAATTGGTCAAGGTGATTGGTAAGGGTGGACACTCAAATTTAAAACGAGACAACCGCTCAAAATACGTACCTGCTCCCGAGTTGCTTCTGCGCGAATTTCGCGTAAATGTTACTGTTCTTATGGACAAATTGAAAGAAAAGGCTTCTGGACACAAGGCTTTGCATGAAATTCCTGCGCCTGAGATGAGCTGGTTAGTTCGCAATGGACACTCAGGCAGCATGGTGATTGCAGACAGTAGTAGTCACGATAGAAAGAGCGATATAGAATCCGCTTTGTTGTCAGCTTCTCCAACTTTGTCGCACTTGCCGCAAAGAATTACTGTGGAAGTGAATCGTGCAAAGATAGCTCGCAGCCGGAGGCGCTTTGAGGGTCCCAAGCAGCGAATCAAAGCAAAGTTTGCGTCATTTTCACGCGATCTGCTTAACGAGACAAACCCAGTTGTGTCGCACCTCGACGAGCACCTTGTCTTTTCCGACTATCTTTAATTAGCAGTTAGATGTTTAGAATTTAAGTATTTATGCGTATTTATTGCAAGTTTTCGCTTAGTTCATAGCCTATTTTACAATATTTCATTATAATGTAAAAGCTTCAGCCACTCAAAAAGACAGAATGGGAGACCTAGACGACCACACACCTGATGAAATCTACTGCGATAGCCAAGTCTTTGATATTGATTTCCACCCGCAGACAAACATCGTAGCTGTTGGATGTATCGACGGCATTGTTCAAGTGTAATAGCATCGTTTGAATGACATTAAATGTCGAAGAACTGACAGAAGTACTGGCATTATGACGCTGCGTTCTTAGGTACAAGTATTCCGAAGAGGCAAATGTTAAGATCCTGGAGTTAAAGAATCACATGGAAGCCGTGCGAGCGTTGCTGTTTGCACCTGATGGACAAAGTACTTAAATACTTACCTACACTTGTTTTCGATGGTATTGCTCAAACGTTATGCTTGTGTTGACAGCTTTATACACAGCGTCAGCAGATAAGTCGATTCGTGCTTTTGACGCACTCGGAAAACCTACATGGGCCGAGATGCGTGCGCACGAGTAAATACAAGACTTTTAAATTCATTGAACAAATGAGTTGTCTACTAATGTTTGTGATACACCAACAGGCACCCAGTAAATCGTTTACACGAGCTATCCGAAAACGTTTTTGTGAGCGGTGACGATCAGGGATGCATCAAAATTTGGGATACAAGACAACACCGCTGTCTGGCTGAATTCAAAGAGCACTCAGTGCGTTTCAGCGTCTGTCAGGTTTTCTATCACTCGCAAACTAAACAATTGTGTCTGTGATGTAGGACTACATATCTGGATTTGCAACGAATCCGTCACAGGACCATTTGCTGGCGACGAGTGGAGACGGACGTTTGTCAGCGTACAATCTGCGCAAGAATGCACTAGTTGGCAAGAGTGACGAGCTGGATGACGAACTGCTCTCTGTCACGGTGATCAAAAATGGCCGAAAGGTTGTTTGTGGCTCGCAGGATGGCGTGCTGGTCATTTTTAGCTGGGGCACTTGGGGAGATATGTCTGATCGATTTCCAGGTCATCCGGATTCTGTTGAGACTCTGCTGAAGGTGGACGAAGATACTGTTCTTACTGGATCAAGTGACGGTATTGTTCGGTACGTTTGTCAGCTGGCTTGTGGCTAATCAGCTGCATGACGTCTCTTGATTTTGTTACTAGTGTGGTTCAAGTGCACCCAAATAAGTTACTTGGTCTTATTGGTGATCATGAAGATCTTCCTGTTGAGAACCTTAAGTTTTCCCATGACAGAAAGATGATTGGTAGCGTATCACACACAAATAAAGTTCACTTCTGGGACGTTGGATTTTTGTTTGAGGATGAAGAAGAGGACGATGCAGGCGAGCACGACGAAAGACCTCGGAAAGGATCACTCCTGGATACTGACATGCAAAATGCGGATAGCGATAGCGATAGTGATGATTCGGATATCAGAAATTCATCCGGAGGACGCAGGGCTTTACCAACGGCCAACGAACAATTTTTTTCGGATTTGTAGGGGATATTTGTTTGAATCAATTATAGAGCGATCTTTGCTGCAGAGCAAGTACTTTGGTGAGATCCGTTTTACACAGCCAGCTTTTCCTGCAGTTATCTAGCTCCGGACGCACCGACGTACATTTGCTTTAGTTTTTATGATTCATCCTGGCTGTTCGGTAGACAACTGTGTCTCTTGTATTATGTGACCCGCGCTCCAACACGAGTTAACTCATTCATTTAGGAGATAGTTATAGACATAACCTTGCAAGCCCAAAAGGGTAGAACTCGCAATTAAAATGTCATAAAGCTGCAAGGACCTTAGAAAGAAGAGACAAATCGTGCAATTATTATTAGCTACGGGGCAGAGTTGACGCACCAAAGAAGTAGCTTTAATGTGAATTTTTGACCAAATTATGGTGTGAGATTCATTGCTTACTGAAAAGCTGGCGCTACCTATTCTGTTGATGCACTACCTGCACTGAAGAGTCATTGTCAGCCACCCGACACACAATTGCAGTACCTTAAGGTAGCGCATTGTGTCAGTCTGTCCGTTGAATTTTATTACGACCACTATAGGGCTTGCTACACAATCCAACTCAGCTAATCCGTTTGCAATTTTTTTTTAATCTTGCCACTCACCCTTGGGCATCAAATTGTTAGACAAGGAAGGAAAGAAATTGGTGAGACGCTCAATAACGAATTTGGTAAGAACCAGAAACGAACGGACAGTGTGCTGGAATGCGATTTCGAGCAAACTGCACAACACAAGGTGAGTACAAATGAACTGTTGGAATTAACAGACGATGAATTAATACAGAATGATCTCATCCGTGTGCACCCTGCTTACTTGTAGCAAAATACTGACATATTCAAAACACTACTTTTGGCAGTAATTTACTACAATTTCTAGCATGAGGTCAATTTTATTTTCTGCAGCATAATTTTGCCTCTCATTTATCCCAAGAAATGAATGTCTCTTTCCTCTTTGACCCAGTTCTAAGCCGAAATGGTCTGTAGTAGCAAAAATGTGGGCCTTGAGCACTGTGTCTCAAACGCACATTTCAGCGCAAGTAGCCAGAAAGAATTCGAAGACGACCGCGTACTATGTAATCTACCCCAATTTTGCGGCAAACCAAATACATTTGAGGGCTCACCTTAAAGCCTTCCCAAGTCCCACCCGTCAAAAATGAATGAGTTGAAGAAGTACGTTTGAATGAGTGTCAAGCACTTCAGCATTAAACAAAAACAGGTTAATTCATGACAAATGACCGTCGACAGCCTCCTTACTTGTGCAACCTCAATTATTTGATACATGTGAAGCGCCAAACCTTCGCGAGAATCGATTTCGGACTGTAAATAGTCACGTGGTTGTTCAGATTAGATATAATACTGCCACAAATTGCATGTTTGTAGATATTTAAGTTTGGCAGCCATACAGAAGTGACACCAGCAGCGTGGTCGATTGTGAAAGGGATGTAGAAAAAACTTATGTGATGTATGAGATAAATTCTTCATCATGTTACCCATCGAGTGTCTGCTCAAGAGCAACATTTAATGACTAATACAAGAGTTTTAATCCTCTGAAACGCGCCATCTGATACTTTTCTAGTGTATAAACCCGCTTTTTGATTGGTCAAAATACAAATTCCTCTTCCTCTTCGCGGCACGACAACAGTTGGGAAAAAGAGCGCCGCCCTTGCTTCTCTCCCTTTGGCAATTTGTGTATTCCGCTACTCTGCTCCTTACCGCCGTAATCGCTTCAGCAGCTGCACTTTCATCTTGCAGACAGGCCATTGCGCTGTGCTTCGATAGATCGCACTTAGTGCACCGTCAAGTCGTCGCCAAGACAGTCAGAGCAAGAACACGCCGCGGACGACGGGCGTGACGGGCCGCAAGTACTGCGTGAGTAGCTCTTGTGGACCGACGGTTGAGTAGTTAAGAACGAAATTGCGACGTTGGCCATGAAGAAGATGTCTCGCAAGCCTTTCCGCGGAGGTCCGCTTTTCTCGAGCAAAGCAAGCGGCTCGACGACGTCACACGGCTCAAGCAACTCTTCCCCTAGCATGAGCAGCACAGGTTCCAATGGATCCACCCGCCGTACCACTTGGGCTGACAAAATTCGAGAAAAATTGCCACCATTGGGTGAGAATGAATACGAAGTGCTGTGGGAACGTGGCGTACTAGGCGTCATCTTCCTTGAGTCGGAAAAAGATGGGATTCCGTACGTGTCAAAAGCTACTGAATCGTGTATCTCTACTGCTGTAAGCCAAGGTGATATTCTCACGTACGTAAATGTCGTGCGCTCTAAAGACCACTCGTTCTCAGACTTTTTCAAGATATTAGCGACGATGAAAAAACCTGTATTGCTGCGATTTGAGCGCTTGTCGGCTAGCACTCCTTCATCCGACGATGATGAAGCCTCACAGCTCTTTAGTGCACAGCGTTCTGGTGCTGGGAATCCTATTAATGCTACCAGTCAAGTTGCACGACAAAATCTTTCTCATCTAGACGAGCGGGAACCTACTGGAAGGCTTCGAAGGGTTAATTCTGTTCACAAGGATCAAAAACCGATTCAGGCGACGCGAGACACATCTTGGCGCGTGCCAAATGCTAAGGAATCGAGGAATATGGAACATTTAGCGCAGTCAAGTGGCTCGCACGGTAGTAACGGAGCATATGATCAATTTACTGCATCGCACCCTCATCGACATTTGTCGCATACTAAAGATCATGTTGCGTCGGGGGATTCTGTTATCCCCAATAAAAATGGAAGTTGTTCACCACTTAATCCCCATGAATATGAAGTTTATTGGGAAACCGGGTCGTTGGGACTCTTTTTTGCTGAAAATCGACTGACGAGCCTACCCGTCGTGACACGATCAACTACAAGTGCTAATCCGGTGGTCAGACGCACTGTTGCAGTAAATGATACGCTTGTCTCGGCAAATGGCGTCAAGTCAGCAGATTACTCGTTTGAAGCGTTCTTTGCTTGTTTACAGCAAATGAGCAAACCTGTGCGACTTGTTCTTAGACGAAAACAGCCTAATGAGCAAGTCGTGATTGTTAAACAAGTGGATCCACAGCAGCAGCGGCAACATCAACATCAATCACAGCAGCAGATTCATCAACGTCCGCAAAAAGTAAGTGAACACCAGGTAGGGCACGAACAGGATCCGAAGCGTGAATTTTCGAAATCGCGAGAACTACAGCAACGTAAACAGCAACATATACGTGAAAATCACCAAGAACAACAACAACGAGAGCAGCATCAACGAGAACAACAGCGGGAGCAACACCAACGAGAACAGCAACAACGTGAACAACACCAGCGAGAACAACAACAACGGGAGCAACACCAACGAGAACAACAACAACGGGAGCAACACCAGCGAGAACAACATCAACGGGAGCAACACCAACGAGAACAACAACAAAGGGAGCAACACCAACGCGAACAACAGCAACGGGAGCAACAGCAACGAGAACAACAACAACTTCATGCACAGCGTCGCGAACAACAACATGAGCAACAACAGCACGAAAAGCAACAGCGTGAGCAACGACAGCGTGACCAACAGCAACGCGAACATGATCTCCGTGAGAAGCAACTACATGAGCTGCACGAGCGAAAGCAGCAAGAATGTGAAGAACAGCAGGATAATCTATTGCAAGAAGTGGTATCACCTGTGATTGCTGACTCGAATCCAGCGACATTAGGCTCACCTGTTCATGGCCAACCTCATCAAGATCTTATTTCTAGTCCAGTTGTTAGACGTGCATCTACTCCACCTTCACGTCCACCGTCTCCACAAGCTCGGCGAGTATCTACTCCTAATAATCGTGATTCTCACCATGCCAGCAATGCAAATATGCAAACGTCTCCTTTGGGCTCTCCAGTAGCACCGCAAAAGACAACTCTGGCTAAAAGCATGTCAAGTACCAATCATGATACATCTCCACGAATACAGCAGCCTAAAATGACACAGAGCTCGCCAATGGCTGACAACTCACCGAATATTGGCAGCTCGCCAAAAGTGAATAGCTCACCATTAATGTCGCCTAGTCCGCAATCTTCAATGACAGATATTGACGAGGAATTGAGCAACATAACCTCACGTTCTTCAGATTTTCATGACAAAGAAAATCACTTTCTAGCTGAGAGAAAAGAGAGCGAATTGTTGACAAAGGAGAGTGTTCACATTGCTGGGGTTGCTGACGGTAGACGAAGTCGAAATGGCAGTGAGGATATGCAGCTGCATCACACAGTAAGTGTTGTGCATGATGATGAACCCACCACGTCTCCTACCGCCGCCGAGATGGCCTACTCTTCGCTTGCTGAGTCGTGGAATTTGCCTGAAGATAAAGTTTTATCCCCTTCGGTAATGACGGAAATGACTGAAGCAGAAGAAGATATTGATATCGCTGCACCTGTGCCGTTAAATGATGCCCATTCAGATATGACGAACCATGCCAATGTAGCTGTCGAACCGGAATTGGGTGGTGCGGATATAGCTGATGATGTAGAAGTGGTTGAAGACGGTTTATTTTCTGAAGTATCAAAAACAGCCGAGGAAACTTTACTGGCGGAAGAGGCCGAGCTTGCTGAGAAAGATGTGTACGATGAAACGATGGACTTTGTCGAAGAAAGGGATCCTGCAATACCGCTGCATTCCGAGATCAACTCGCCCGAGGATGATGTGGAGGTTGGCATGCTTGCTGATGCGGAAGTGGAAATTGCTATTGAGGAGATTGAATGTGAAGTCGACGCGAACGATGCTTGGGATTTTGAACAACATGGATCTGACCTTGAAAAGAAAAATGATTCTAGCAGTGCCGATGTAACGTCACGTGACGAGAATTTGCATTCTATTCAAAGACGCTCTTCCATTGACGGTGCTCTACGTGCCGAATCCTCTAAAGTCGACTTTGCTGATGCTTCCGAGAGTGCGGATGAATTTACAAATGATAGAGATATATCAAGTGAGATTGACACTGTCGATGATGACATCATGATGCGACAAGGTCTAAAGGACAAAGCGGAAACTAGTCAGCCAAGACCGGCCAAAACGTCCTTAAATGCCAACTTAGCTAAGTACAAGAAGAAAGGGAAAACATCTCGGGGTGTTATTAAGCTGCCAGCACTTACTGAAGAACAGGCGCAAACAGTTCCACTGCTTGCACCAAATGCCGTTAACACAACTGTTCAAGTGCGAGGTAGACCAAAGCCCAAGTCGACAATGGCGGATACTCCTGACAGTACAACATATTTAGTCAAGTGGAAGGAGAACCGAAGCATTGGCTTACAGCTGAAAGAGGTGCGCCTTGCCAAGGGCACATATCCACTTATTATGGATGTGTGTCATGAACCATGCTGTGAGCTGCTGCGACATATCTGTGTTGGCGATGTGATTCTTGAGATAAATGGGCGCAATACGTCGACAATGGGGGTGAAAAAGACTGTAAATTTCCTTAGAACGTGCACTAAGACGACTTTGATGAAGATTCGACACGGTCCAGGGTTCGTGAATGAACGCGTGAGTGCGACAGTATAACGGGAGCGGCCCACTGTATCAGTATTGTACGATCAACTGCTCTAGCACGACCAGTAGCTGGCATCGAAAATCTTATCAACGAACGAGACCACTGGGCTGCTCTTCTGTTTTAAATCTCTAGGTTTATTCCTCTCAAGTGTCAGTGTAGTCATGTTATAGAGGACGATTAAACATGATGTTAGCTTGCAGCGATAAGATAAGTGGTGGATAATTGCAGGCCAAGTAGTACGATGATAAACTTAATGCATATCTATGTGAACTGCTTGATGTGAGAATTAGAATCTGAACTCCTGGTGTGGCTGGCTTTGCGATATTGCTATTGATTGACTGCTTCCTGGAACGACAAAGTTTATCTCTATATTTCCTGACTGAGAGTTGATTTTCAGAAAAAACGCTAAATTTCTATTTAGGACAAAAAAAACAACAAGGACTATTGCTCAACTTTCAAGAAAATTTACGATATTAAAGGTAAATTTTCGTACTAATCAATTTCAAAGCTTGTTTCCGAAACTGCCCTGTATTCAATTCTTGTCAGTAGATGCCGCCGCGACCGGACTGCGATCGATAGGCAGCGGCGTCAGCACTGACAGCTTTTTTCTAAGAATTAAGCTATTCAGTACGAAAATTGCCTCATGCAAGCTCCTCCATGACACTTTCGTAAGCAAACTTAGTGCATACTGGCGAGCCGAGTTTTGATCTTTCCGATAGCCTGAGCAGGGTTAAGACCCTTCGGACAAGTGCGTGTGCAGTTCATAATAGTATGACACTTATACAGCTTGAACGAATCATCTAGCGCGCGTAAACGCTCCTCTGTCTTGTCATCACGCGAGTCTTCAATCCAACGGAATGCCTGCATCAGCACTGTATCAAATAAAGTTTATAAGGACCATGTGAGCGGATAACACATAAACTTGTTACAACATACCAGCCGGTCCAAGGTACTTGTCGGGGTTCCACCAGTAGCTAGGGCACGAGGTACTACAGCATGCACAGAGGATGCACTCGTACATGCCATCAAGCTTTTTACGATCTTCAACGGACTGTAGGTGCTCATGATTGACATCACGTGGCTTGTCCGAGTGTAGCCACGGCTTGATGGATGTATACTGATCGTAAAAGTTATTCATATCTGGCACGAGGTCGCGAATGACATACATGTGTGGAAGTGGGTGGATGCTAGTAACGTCCTTATTCTTCTTAATCGGACTTAGGCATGCCAACGTGTTTCCTCCGTCAATATTCATAGCACACGAGCCACAAATTCCCTCACGACACGAGCTGCATATGAATTCAAGATAAGTCTTTCTCCACAAACTATATCTCGACTACTATAAAAGAGTCATACCGGCGAAACGTCAGTGTCGGGTCTTGTTCAGCCTTAATCTTGATCAATGCATCCAATACCATCGGCCCACATCTAAAGATCAGTGCAACAGGCCGTGAGTCGTCTTCCTTTGTTAAGCCTTTTACACCAATATACAATCGAAAACGCAGAAATTTTAAGCATAATAAACGTACTCGTCCAAGTCCACAGGGTATGTGCACTGGTAAGGCTTCTCTTTCGACTCTGGGTCCCAGCGATAAACCTTGAAGTACTTAATATTCTACAGTGACAATACATATCAGTCTCGAGCTGAAATGACGACCTTGTGACAACAAGCCGCTCCTGACGCACTTTAGGTTTGATAGCTTGAGACTTCAGGTCCGGGTTGAACGAAGGTACGCTGAGAGCACGCGACCCCATGACCATCACGGGATTCTTCATAAGGCGCACAGTTGACAGCATCTTGGGTTATGCTCAGTAAATTCAAGACTGACGGCTTTGAGCGATGTGTTTGAATAGACCTTTCAAAACAAATAGGTTGAGCGTACTTAGCATGCAAAAAAGGTTTTTCTCTATTTTATCTATTTATGAATATAAAACTGTCTTTTAAATTTACTTAATTATACGTATCGAAAAGGCGAGAATTCCGAGGGTCTAGTTTACTTCTGTGCCACGTCAACTTGGTGCAATCATTTCTGGCGAGCTTGGAACTACGCTGCCATTCACAAAGAAGTTTTAAATTCGGTAAGACTCATCGACAAAATCGTTAGTTTGCTATCCACTACACCTTTAAAGCATTTTCTGCAGCATCAATAGGTTGATGGGCTCCTGAATTTCAAAAGAGTTCCACTGGCAATCTGCACTGAGAAAATATTTGACTCGCATGTTGCCCATTTCAATAGGTTGGGTTCAAAGACCGTTTCATGACGCGGATCCCAGAGTCTCTTAAAGAGAAAAACATTTTGCATTTAGTGCGGCTATCCAGAATTCACGGCTAACAAATACGTTTGACCTTCCATCATTATGCAAAACTACGTACGCATGCATAGAGCTGGCAACACATGCTTCCTATGGCCTTTTTCCCGGTACATCACCGCAGTACTAGAACAAGTGCTCTCGAGTCTTACTCTAAGTCCGATGAACGATAGTGTATCATAAAGGCTCACCATACAATGTCCGTACACCGTATGCCGACATAAGGATCCCGTTAAGACGGCAGGCCATATGTCCTGCGTCAGACTTTTGAGGAACACAGTCAGCTTAGCCCTCCAGGCACAAACCGTCTCGATATTTTTTTTGATATATCTACGCAAACTTATACACCTTGCCCATATTTGGTGAGTAAGGCGAGGTGCTTTCTGATCGGAGTAGTCAAAGCGCCTTCCTGCATCTCAGTGTGAGAGTGAGAAGCGTACGCAAGATTTGATTCCTGGGTGCTTTCTGACGGCAGAGGTCACTGCCGAAACAGCAGCGGGACTGTCAGTCAGTGCTTTCTATGAGGCCACTATATTCAGTAATACGACCTGGTGATTGTGCCGAGAACAACTTGGCTCAACAGAAGCATCAAGTGAAGAAGTGTTGTCATGTAATCCATATTGCAGTACTATGAGCAGAATCATAGAAACAGGCATCCGATGAGAGCGTTGCTTGAATCTGACGTTGCGAAGTTAAACCCACGACGTCGACACCAAGGCAGGCCACCGTCTACGCCTCATATTGATGATCAAAGATGTCATGCTCTTCTTAATGTAGCTCCCGACAAAGTCACGATCGTGAAACAAAAGAGGCTCCACTTTGGTGGTAAGCATGTTTCGCAGTACGATTCTGCTTATTGATTGAAAAAAGCGGTGACAGAAGGTGGGCATCGTCACAAGCGTGAACGACGCTGGGGTAGTATCATCGAAGTGTTAAGTCAACTGTTTAAGGATCTTTGGAGTGAGGGGGGTCATTTCACACTAATATGTAACTTGCTCCGTTACAATGTTACTATCGCACTGGGTAGACTAGTTGAGATGCTTTGGTAGTCACTGGCCATTTCCCAGGGCCTGCTGGATGCGCCGCCAGCAAAATTTAGCTTCTGGTGGTGCAGCTAAGTAGATTACACTGCGCTTATGCGACTATCTCTATCGCCTGCTAATTCGGCCAGACTGAGTTAGAAATATTCACATCAAACACTCGCGAGCTATGCTTGAGTATATACCCTTTGAAAGATATTCGCCGTGTAAAAATGTGTATTTGGAGGTGATAGAATCCATTTTGGTGGTGATATACTAGATAATATGTTTTTGGGTACAGACGATAAAAAATCACGTTCAAAGTCGGGAACTTGTTGGTACAATCATATATTATTCTATGAAAGTGGTTTGGATCGGCCAACTACTTGCTCAAAGCTCGACTGGCATGCGCAGCGGAAAGCTCAAACAGTTCGAGATTAAAGACGCACATGAGTCGCGTTCATACTCGCCACTCTGGTGAAGAATCTGGAGCCTATATAAGAACTCGTATCTAGTTCTATCAGCAACTTCATGAGTGACATACATTAGTTTTCATGCAGCGGATCGGCCGTAGCTCTTTGCTTCAAGGAAGCTAAGCTAAGGTCATTAACCTTACGTTTTTTATAGGAGCCAGTACAAGTGCAGCGGATCGCAATCTGCTGTCTCCAAGAGTACTGAAACCATTAAGTAAGTGAACTCTTCCGTTCGCTGTTGCTTAGACTAAAGTCCCTCTAAGTTTCAACTCTACTATAGATCTATTGTGCGTTTCAATAGAAACATCTCCTTAAGCATCTCAAGTCGATTCCGTTATAAGCGCAACTTGACCTGCTGTTGTCGAACCAATATCTTACGCTTTCCAGACAATTAGATTGAAATTGCAAATGTACTCGTCAAAGTAGTATTCGCTTGCGCAGCATTCGATAGCATATTTTATATGCTCGTTGCTGATACATTTCCAGCGATGGTCGGAGTTGTCGAGGCGTGACACCACATTGTAGGTACGTAGCACAACATCACAAAGTTATCTGTGTCAATTTGTCTATCCAGGAATTAAGCCCAAATGCAATAAGTACTTATTTGGCCAGCGCTAACAACGCGGTTTGTTGGGGTAAATGATAAAGAGATCGGTGACCCACACTAGTGACGTTTGGTTGTGCCGCAATCGGAGTGTCCCAGAGATAATTTCAGATACTGTCAGTAAATGCAACGCCCCCTCAGATGTAATATTTGGTTGTATAACAGTTTGAGGAGTATCAGTCATGTTTGTTGCGGTAAGATTCCGAAAAGGGCTGATGTCTTTGATTGCATCGACCCAAACAAGCTTTTAATTTGGAGTTGCTGTTTTTCATCAACGTTTCGAGCGTAACAAGGCCGTCACATCTCTTGATAAATTAAAAAGCTTCATGCCATTACTTACGACACACGACTGCCGAAAATAGCGGACAGTATGCGGAGGCAATGAACTTGCACGAAAGCGCTTATAGCTTATTTGATTGCAGACCTTTCATTGGAATCGAATTGGACTACGATTTGTTTGGAGCTCCCAGTTCAGTGCAGCTAGCGCAAGGGCTTTTTTCATTCATCAAACCTCGTCAAGAGAGTGGCGCGCCTTGGGCCGTATAGTAAAGGCTATCTCTAATTCGATAGGACTAGTTTAAAATCGAAAGATGAAAGATTTGAGAAGAAACTATCAGTGACTATACTCAACTATGCTGACGAAGGAGAGGATATTGTTTGACTATCTGATACTTGCGGATATGCAGCATCCGTTGTATATGTACCCTGCTTGTCTCCTTCTTTTTTGGCTGATAGGAGTGACGGCTCAAGTTTCAAGCAAGCTCGACCGTCAAGACCCTCGCTTAGAAAACATCGAGTCTCAGTAAGTTGCTCTGCGTGTACTAGACAGATTTCGTTTGTGCGATCGTTGGGACCAGCACTAGAGTAAGCGATTCACTTGAAGAAAGGAGGAACTAAAGAAAAACTGAAAAATTTCGAATTCCCTGTTGGATCTTAAGGTGGAGTTTGAGCTCCTCGACGACTTCGAAACTTATCTAGTCGCGGGCCTTTTTGAGTTACAATCCCAATCTGGTAATGGCATGGCTAGAATCTTGCAAGCCCATGTGTCAATTGATGTCCAAGAAGATATTTGTCAAGCACTTGAATTCTTTTGAAATTCTGGCAAATCATGAATACACATCTGTCAAATAGCTACGATAATTATTTCTTTACACGAACACGGCGCTGCAGTAGCTCTCGTGAAAGACATGAGACTGTATGAACTTGATAGCAACAAAATGTCAGGTCCCTTCAAGAAGCAGAGGTGGCAGTATGCCGAAAAAAACGATTGCATATTGCGACTCAAAGGTTGTCTCTGACGAGACGGTTAAGACAATAGTATTTCTTGGTCACCAGAGTGTAATCTGGCAGAACGTTAAAAATAAGCTTTGAAATGCTGTATGCTTTGCAAGAGACGGTGGAGATTGGAACCGGTTAGTGTCATCCTCCGTCCGTGTCAGAGCCGGTGGAGTTAAATGGAGACTGTTAGTCACGAGTAAAACAACTCAACTTCAAAATAGAAGAGAATATTCATTTATGTCACGATGGAACGGTTCTAAGGAGTCAGGACCTTCGTGTAAAGCGCCCATCAAGCCACCACTTCAATGTTTGAGTCTCTCTTACCGTAGATGCTACGTACTCATTGGTCAACTCGAATTACATCCTGAACTAATACAAGCTATTCAATTTATATATTGCAAATAATATAATAATGGGTTTGCTAAATGGGTATATTTGAGTTAATTTCGTGCTTATTGCAAGTTAAAGAACACCATCATCTCTCACAAATCAATAAACATTTTAATTTAGGGTACTAATTTTTACATCTAAACCTGGCCAGAATAAGCGCAATTGTTAAATCACACAAAAATGTACCAAGGTTTAACAGCAATTAGTCTCGATGCCGCCTGTCTCCTCGACTCGCGAGTGCTCGGCGTATCTCTTAGATTTATATGAATCTTTGCATCAGCTACAATCTTTATCCGGTGAAGACGAGCGTATGCGTTGGCGCTGGCGTTTGTATCAGATGCAGCGCCAGTTTGAGTTTGACCAACAAGACGCTTGGGCCTCCTCTATGCTGACAATTATTGAAAATCATATTTCAGCGTTGCCAATCGAGAGCACTCGTAATGCACAACCTATTCGCACACACGCAACCTCAGCTATTGCGGAGAATGACGAGGTTCATCTTTCAATTGATGAAATGGATGCAAAGCGAAATGCCGATTCCGATACGACGGATACGACGGACAATTCGCTGCGAGATAGGACTCAGCTAATCAAGTATATGCAAAGTGCATCACGACGCACTATAAGGGCAATTACTCGTTCGGGTATTCGAGATCGTGGTCAGTCCTTGCCTGTGACTAGTTGTAGAATGAGTATTGCTGACTGTTCAGGCGAGACGAATGAAAGTAACGATTTACAAATCCCATCAGCTGTAACAGCTTCAAGTAATTCGTCAATGCCTGTCAGTGCTGAAGTGAAGAAGGAAAGAAATTTGATTTCAAACTTGGCGATATTTACGAGGCATGAACGCACCAATTTCCGCCATTCGATGCCCGATTCGCTACAGTCAATGGTTAACTATCTAGGACTATCAAATCTGAATGAGTTATTTCTATGCCAAATTTGCTATGATTATGTTCCAGTGAGCAAATCATACGCACTTGTGGTGTGTGGACACATTTTTTGTCAAGCGTGTTTGAAAAGCTTTTTGGAATTTAAAATTAAAGAAGGACAAGTGTATCCAAAGTGTTTCTTTGAAATATCGAAAAATGAAGCAGCATGCAATGCAGCAATTTCAGTGGATGATATCCAAGCACTTGTCTCGCAAAGAGTCTGGCAGAAATATACAACGTTTAAATTCAATAAGGATCATGAGCTTGCAAGACAATGTCCATATTGTGATCACTCACAAGTTTGTGCTGGGAGCGAAAATCCAGAATGCATATGTGAAGCATGCAATCGAGAATTCTGCTTTTTGCACAACAATGCTCATCAAGATGAAACATGCGCTGCGTATGAAAGGAGTATGATTGCTATCGAAAAGCTTAATAATTCTTTAATCAGCAAGATCTCCCGACGATGCCCTGGCTGCCAAAATTATGTTGAGAAAATTGGTGGCTGTAATCAGATGAAGTGCGTGGTTTGTAGCACAAGCTTTTGCTGGATTTGTCTCAAGATCATCGACGATAGTGTTTTTCCAGAACACTTTCAGGTACTGCATTTGGAATGCATAATAGTGAATGTGAGATTGACTTTTCAACCAATTGCAATTATTATAGTGGTGGAACATACGTGGCTGTGCGGGTAATCAAATGCTAGACAATGAAGGACAAAGTGCGACTCAAAAAGGAATTATAATGGTGATGCGAGTACTTTTTTTCATAATATTCGGCCCTCCTGCGCTCCTGGTGACTGTGATATTCTGTATCCTTTGCTGCTGTTTTTATCCATGCACAAGTGACGACAGCGTCTCGTTTCGACAAGCTTTCACGACATGTTTTTGTATCTCTGGTTACATTCTACTTGCACCCATTGTGCTAGTGCTGGGGCTTATAGCCGTTGCAATTTTGATTGCTGGTGCCACTGCAGGTGCTGTAGTTCTCGTATGTTTATCGCCTATAGTTGGTATAATTCTGCTTTTTCAACGGAATACTTGGCTATCAATATTAACTCATCGACAAGCACGCTCACGAAGCTCTAATCATGCCGAAACGGCCACTGCGTGCATCTTTGAAGACACTTACAATACTTCTTCGCCTAATGATCAGACAGCTTTTCATGTGTCAATATAAACGATGTCCAAATTTACCGGTATCATAAAAGGAGATAGAAACGGGGCATATGTATACTTTTGCAATGCCGTACAAAAGTCTGCGGCCTGAAGAGCGTGGCAACGCATTGTCCACATCTTTCTCATCTGCAGCGCTTGAATTCTATAGTGAAAAGCAGTCTGACGTGTATACAACATCTGCGAATGCGAGGCTTCAAGAGGATTTAACGCGACATGCACTAGAACTTCTGTTTCTAGATCTAACATGTACCAGGGCCAAAGCTGATGTCTTGTTGTTATTAGATGTGGGAGCTGGATCCGGATTAAGCACGAAGGCTGCTCAGAAATGGTCTCAAGAGAAAAAAATATCTGTATTTACGCTGGCGTTTGACATCAGTGCATCAATGTTGTCTTTGGCAGCGAAGGAGACTCGATTGTGTACCGAGTTTTACCGTGGCAATGCTGCACAGAGTTTCCCTATTCGTTGTGGTATACTCGATGGTGCTATTGGTATCTCTATGCTTCAGTGGTTGCAGCCAAGAGGATTAGAAGTGTGTTTCTCTTCACTATTTAAACTTCTTTCGGATGTCCATGACTCTCGTGTCGTGTTTCAGGTCTATCCGTCGAGTAAAGCAGATGTAGACAAGATGGAAATGATTGCTATACAAATGGGATTTTATCGTGCTGAAGCGTTTATATCATTTCCCCACATGACATCAGCAAAAAAGTGGTTTATTTGTTTGGAAAAACGGATAAGCTCTCAAACACACCATGCGCAAGAAGAAAAGCATGAATTATGTATATTTGCTAGACGATACGATAGGCGGTGTGTGCTACAATGGCTTGGAAATCGAGATGGTAATGTCAAAGAGATTTGGAAGCGAGTTGAGAAGGAGCACGTCAAGATTGCGTGGCACATTTGGCGGAAGTATCGACGGTATCTTGTGAACGTTGAGACTGATGTTAAAAGTGATAAAATATCCCTAATTTATCATAAGAAGATGATGCACACTAAGGCGCAGCAAACGCTAAGCATTTACCCTAGTGATGAAACAATTGGACGTGCATTGAAAGTGCATTTTGAAGAAAGAGCCGAAAAGATTACACTTGATTTCTTACAACAACATTCGGCAGAAGTCGTTCGAATAGTCCATTCAGCTTACACAGAGGCTAGAAAACGTGAGCTTGCCATGCATTTATGATCAAGGCTATGGTCACAAGCATAGTGGTCCAGGATGCAAAGTTTTCGAGAACAGCCTCTATCGTCAGCTTGACGTGACGAACATTAGCTGGAATGACTTCAGAGCACAGAGATAGATACATAATTCATGCTTTTCTTCTTGCGCATGGTGTGTTTGAGAGCTTATCCGTTTTT